AGAGAAGGTAATAATGATCTGAAAGGGAGTGTGTAATTTGAAATATTGATAAATAATGTACTTGTACGTGGCGGCAAATTAAAGACAGAAAAATATAAATTGACGTTTCGTTGGCCGATTCGTCAATCTCTTTAGAAATTATATTATATTTAGCGGTGAAAAACTGTCCTGTCGGAATAAACGTGAATTGTCGACTGATGTGTGTAATTTGTCAAATTGAACGGTAAAGACGTAAATCTATAAACATTTATAGAGTTGACACTTCATTGCTCAGTTGTACCGACATTAATTTACTTAGCTTTTCAGTTGTTTCGGTTAATTGAGCTGCTAGAAGGGATGAAAGTGACCAAGGGTTGCTTTTGTCAGCGTTTATCTAGTGTTTGCCGATCTCGTCGGCGACAGTAGCTGCTTGACTGGTTACGTTCTAGTACGAGCGAGGCAAACTGCTGTTACTATCGCTTTACACACTCATACACACTCACAGCAACAGTAACTAAGCCAGCCTTTCACTTCGCAAAATAGCCTCGGATAACTCAAAGATTCTCTAGCATGCGCGAAGTATATCAAGCGATAATTTAATACCTAGCAACGATTGATGTCAACTTGTAAAGAAATTGCTTTGGAATGGAACTACATAAAAATATTGTAATTTTCCTTGTAATAAATCTCAGCGAGAGCTTATCTTATTGTTAGTAAGCAAAGAGCTGATGAAAGATAAGTCACCTAAATTCTTACACGTGTAATCAGATAGCCGGAAAATTAAGCGCATTAGCCGGCAAGGCAATTATCCAGAGCATCACACCAGTAATTTTCAGTCAGGCGTATCGGCGTCAATCGACGAAGGAGACATGTAAAGCGTGTCGCCGGGAATCCCAATAGACAGGCATTGGCTAGCAGTAAGTGCGTTTGGCCAGAGCGAGTGATATCAGTCTGGCCGAAGAGCAAGGCGTTGTTGGCAGCCAAGCAGGCGGATAGGGAGAAAGAAAGAGAGAGAGAGAGAGAGAGAGAGAGAGAGAGAGAGAGATGTGGTGACCTGGATCCAGGTCATCCGGGAGAGGGACGTCTCCTTTCCGATCGGGGATCCTTCCGCAACGATAAATCCTGGCGCTGACAGGATAACGATCGGATCGATGCCAACTGCACGAGCCACCCTCGCTTTCTATATCAACTCTCTCCGTCTCTCTCTCTCTCTCTCTCTCTCTCTCTCTCTTACTTTCTTTGCACGAAAAAGAACAATATGAATCCACCTCCGCCCAACTCCAGATTAAATTTGTACCCAACGACGTGGATTCTTATTCAATTTGCCTGGCTATTCGATTCTGTCGTCGCTCGGGCTCTCTGATCAATGATGTTTCGTTAAAAGCGATGATTATTCAGCGCTTTTGCATATTCATAAGGCACTATGTTACGGACTAGCAGCTCCATGACTATGAGAATTGTGTGTGTCGTGTGCTAATTAAGACACTGGGCTTATTGATTTGAAGGTTCGCGTGTGTGCGCGATTCGGTATCCTTGGAAGAGAAAAAAAAATTGGTTTGCATAGGTCGCACTGATTGAAACACAGTGCGATAAGAAGAATCGGTTTGACCTGAATTGGACAAAGGACAACGAAATCCAACGAAATCTCGCAATTACAGCATGTTATTCCAAAGTCGTGACCCGGTTGAAATCCAAAGTCAAGTTCCTTCTTGCGAAGACGACGTTCATTACAAGAAGGAAAGCTACCGATAAATCAGGGAGTCCTTATATAAAGGCAACGAGAAAGTAGCTTTACGGGGGTCGGGAGGAGGGCGCTGGCTGGCAGAGCCGACAATAGTCACTAATTTCGGCAGAGTAGCAGTAGCCACTCGTCCGTGAGTCAATTCAGCAGCTATCGCCGATTACTGAAAAACAAGGCCACCAAAAAGCTCTGCCTGGTTAGAGTGTAGTAAGCTCACCTCATCTTTGCCAAAAGGGGGACCGATTCGCGCTGCTGACGGTCACTTTAAAATACGACGATCCCTTTCGTGCTACGTGACTCGTCCTCCTGCCTTTCTGGCCGCAAAGTAATCGGGATATAATCGAGTGCCTTATTTTCCAGACGTACACGTCGCATTCGCGGCAACGCTTTCATTCGGCTGCGAGCCCATAAATCGCTTCGGTATAGACAGTCGCAGATTTATTCGACAAATTGAACCACTTTTGGATTGTCGTTCGATAACTTTGCCATCGGCAAAGTCTTGCGCGTAACTTCGATCCGCACACTTGCGCCTCTTTCAGCTTCCTTCAATAAGGAAGTGTTGTGGCAATTAATTATACGCCCCTTCTCTCGTCCCGCGGTGTTACATTGTTTTGCAGCTGAATCCAAATCATTTCTAGCCATTTCATTCTTTTTGTCCTTTACTTTGTATTCGAATGTATTCATGGAATCTACATGGAAAAAAAGATCGATCCATTACTGTTCACTGAATTTTTAGGTTTAGTTTTGATAGATGTGGGTATATATAAATTTATCGCTTTTCACTTTTTAACGAAAAAATTAACTTTTCTTAGGTATCATCGGAAATATTTAATCTCATAAATTTCATAAAATAGAATCTTTCAAAAAAAGGTATGTATAATATTTATACATTTTAAACGTAGAATGATGAAATAATAATCAGAGAAGCAGAAATCATATTCAACGAGACGAGTAATTCAGATATGAATAGTTCTACTGAAAATGCATAATGTTATCAAATTTTTACTAAATAATAAATTAACGCCTTTGGTACTTGTTTTTCTATAAATAGCATCTAATATGATTAAAAAAAAGTTTCTTGGAAAAATTCCGGATTATTATTATGCCCATTATGTCAATTTTTGAACGTATAACCAAATTTTATTTCCCAAGCAATTTTTTCACATATATTTTCTAATTTTTAATTTGCATTTACTTTGTATTCATATATTATTGCAGTAAATATATTATTTTTATATAATGAACATATAAAATTACTTATTTAATTAGGTTGATAGAAATTTTTAACTAAAAAAATCATGAAATACAAAAAAAAATAAATAAAAAATTTCAAAATCAAAGATTGGTGAAAAGAAGAGAGGCTCAAAACACTCCTTTTGCATTTAAATCAGTTTCAGTACTCTTTTAAACATCCAAATTTTGTAACAAAATCCATATTGAAATAATAAATCTGATTTCCAAAAAAAGGCTTCGGAGATGAATTTAATATTTCATTTTAATGTAAATATACCGAAAGTATTAGAATTAACTGCGGCATATCAACAATATCAAAGGGTAATAAAAATTCTCTCAAATCATCACATGAATACATTTGTAATGTGCATGCGCATGAGAAATATCAAGGCTTCGGAGATGAAAAGGAATTTTTTCTCGTGATACATAGTTTTTTATTTATATTTAAAAAATATGTATAATGCGTTAAAAATCATTATATATAGATACTAATCAATAGTTTTTGATCTGAACTTTTTATTTATTTCATCAGAATTGCAGTCACTATTGATTGAAATTGATTTTTAATGTCTAATAGTAATGTGTGCATTTTTTGCGAAGTCAGGGGACAATTTTCAAAGCTATGAATAGAGATTGAAGATAAAGATTAAAACTGTTAATAAGAACGCTAAAAGATACTTTAATGTGTTTATTTTAAAATGGGGTTGTTAAGATTACTGTAAAAAACATTTTGAAACCATGGCAGTGTTATAAATGTTTAAAATAGTGTTGGAGACACCGTAAACAGGACATAAATGATATTTTATTGAACTCTGATTTGTACCTTTTTAGTAGAATTATCCATATACAAAGGGAATAAACGGCAAACGCTATAAATAAAAATTACACGAGTGTTCGACAATTATGATATAAGAGAAAATGATAGTTATGCCCAAAGTGAATCCCGCGATAAGAGTAACGTAAATGATTTTCAACAAATTGAGGCCGCAAATATAGACGAAAGTTCATGGCACAAAGCACGAGGGACGAAGAAAAAGAAAGAAAAAATTGCCTAAAAAGCCCATGAAACGAATCGGTAGGCGTAGAGTATTGGGAACTGCAGCAAAGATCCCGTGGCGATAGGTTTGCGCACGCCCGCATTGGAATTGCGCTCGCTTTTTTCCGAAAGAGTTCTCGCACACAGACAAAAGACGGGGCGAAGAAAGGTAGAATTTCCCCCCCCCCCCTCTCTCTCTCTCTTTCTCGTCATACTTTGATCAGACGCTGGATTTACACTAGGCTCCTTTGAAGTTCCTCGTAGGCGTAAACGCGCGCCCTCGCAGTTGCGAATGTGATTATCGACAAAGAGCGAACAATTTGTTTTTCTCTCTGCCTCCCGTACGCGGAGACGCCTCGCTAAATTTATCCTTCTTTTTCTCCTCCCCGCAAAGCCCTTCTGCGCTTATATGCTTCGAGCCACCAAAATGGGAGGGGTAGTGGGGGATGAACCGACAAAATAGGATATAGTTGTGCCAACGCCGAGCGTTTCAATTTATGAGCGCGACTGCGTGTCGTCAGCTCTTTTACGATTTCAGATTAAATTTTTTGTTGTATTTTTATCTTAACGTCCTGCAAAGCTTTTCTCTAAAAAGAATTACTTTCCTACGGGCCGTTCCCCGAGATTCGCTGGCGACGAACACGGCTGTTGTGCACTGCAGCTTTTAATTGAGTTTTGTAACGTTTATCCGATATCGCGCGTTTGTCATAGACAGATTTGCGTTGGATTAAAATAAAATTAGATTTGATCTGAAGTTTACGTATACAGAAATGGATCAAAGTACACTTGCCGAGTGCGATATGCATGTAAAAGCCATATATATATGGAACAAGCGTGGCGTCGCGCGTATCGCGCTTCGCTCGCGCGACGATCGATATGAATTCTGATTAGAAAGTTGATGCAATGTGTGAATTACTGCGGCGCTTTTAATTAAAAACTTTTTGCAGATTGGATTTCCCCGGACCTCCTGGCGAATCGAAAGTAATGCCCCAATTCTCTTTCTCGTTGCAGATTCAGATTTACGGCTACAATGCAGAACTGTATCATAACATGAGCGAGGCGCAGCACAAGAGTCAAGGTCTCGTCGCAATTTCGTTAATGGTTCAGGTAAGCAGTTCACCAACTTTCTTTTTTCTCTCTCTATCTCTCTTTCTCTCTAATCAAGGTCCTGTTCGGCAACACAAGCGCTCGTGCGAAAGCAACTTTGCAAATGCGAAAAAGCCAAAGCAATAATCGGAGGATCGTGAATCAATTAGCGTAACAAGAGTTTCAGTTGGTGCAAAGGCTCGAAATGAGTTTTGCTCAGCGAGCGAACGAGAAAACAAAAGTAAGAGAGGGGCATTCCGGCGGCGAATCTAACTGCAACGCGAAACGCCAGTATTTTAATCAATTAAAGCGCTAACCAAAATCCCAGCTCGCGTTGAGTTTTCTCGCCTGAAAATCCGCGCCCGCGCACGCTTTAATGCTCGTGGAATTGCGTCGGAGGGTGGATGGGACATATAATGCTTGTACAATGGGGGACGCGCGCCTGTACACAAACCTGCTGGAATTCGTACGAGCAGTTTCCTTGCGCTCGCGTCCGAGTTGGCGACACTCGTAACGCTTGCTCGAGACACGTCGTCTGTAAATTGCAGGCCTACGCCACTACCGCGGCCAACTTTACTCATGATTGTCTACCTTTTGTTTCGCATTCTATTCACGACGGGCTTGCGATTTTTCGTCTTTTTCATTTGGCGTGACGTCGATTATTTGCTCGTTTCTCATTTCAAATCAATCAAAGCGAATCTCCGCAGGATGTCGATCGACTAAAGGCACCCAATCGGATCCAAGCGATCCATCTCTTGGCGCAGCACTGAAGTTGATCCGAGACAGCAGACTCGCGATCTCGCTTAAAAGTGCGAAATAATCACGGTGAGGGGCCAGTCAAGTCGCTGGAGATGATGACGTATTCGGGTCGTCGTCGTCGTCGACAGAATCCGGCGGAAAAGCTACCGTGAGAGATAGGTATAAAAAGGCCGACGAGAGAGAGAGAGAGAGAGACGTGCTGTATAGTCCGAATGAAAAGCTAAAGGAAGGAGAGCCGTGTCTCTTGTCTTTCTCGCTCGCGCGACGGCTGCGGCACTTTGACAAGTTGAGAAGTTGCGGCTATACAAAATTAGCGCCTGCTCGGCGCTTTTTCTCGCTCTTTCTCACTTTTTTGTCCTCGCATACGTTTGCCCAGATGAATTCGAACCTAACCTTAAGGAGGATTCGCACGCTGTAAGATTTCTTCGACACGCTCGTACAGACGCAGCTCACACAATGGGTGAAGAACTTTGCCGAATTATTCAAATTCGATTCCTTTCCCCCGAGAGGAAGCTCTACATTCAAATAGAGTTTTACATGCTATTAAGAGAAAAGGGAACAACTTCTACATGGTTCTCGCTAATTTGCAACCACTTCTTTTTCCATTTCCAACCTGCGATAGCTCCACGAGCGTCTATAGCAATGAACGTATCCGTCGCGTCGTTGCCGCTACGAGTAATGCGTTACAATAATTCTATTTGTCATTGGGCTTGATCAATCTAATAAACCCACTAACCTAATTATCAACTTGGATTCTAACGATAAAAAAAAGAGAACCTAAACTCTTTTATTTGTTTTCTTTTCTCACCCGCGATTTCGCGCGAAATTCAATCTAGAGCGATAAAAAAGAATTGATAGCAAATAAAATCAATTGTCCGCGTTTCTCTTCAATAAGTAATCGAGTCAAAATAAATCCAGGAAACAGAAAACGCGCGCAATCGTAGATTCGCTGAAGCACACAAAAGTTCCGCGAGAGGCTGTGTCTGTGCGAACAAAGTAAACAAAAGCTCGAACGGCATCGCAGAGGTAAAGAAAGATGTCAAAAGGAGAGTCATATAAACGCGTGAAGGAGAGAGAGGCAGAAGGACACACAGGCAGTAAGGAACAATGGGTTTAAAGAAAAAAGAAAGAGAGAGAGAGAGAGGAAAGAAAAGAAGGAACGCGCTTGTGGCCGCAGACAAACACACGTTGCGAGAGTGGCGAGGAATAAATTTCCAAGTTTCGAAGGAAACTTGCACGGCACAGTGCTAGTGGTGCGACCGCCAAAGCCACCAACTCTCTCTCTCTCTCTCTCTCTCTCTCTCTCTCTCTCTCTCTCTCTCTCTCTCTCTCTCTCTCTCCCTCTAGCCGGCGTTAGTATAAGCGAGAAAAGATAGGAGAATGCGATATAGCTTTGACGCCGGCTGCTCTTAACAAACGCCTCAAGCTAACTTCTGAATATTTTTCCAGACAGGTCTGTTTATCAGTCCTCACTTGCGTGCGATAACAATTATATGCCGAATTCTCTCTCTCAATCGCAGCTAAAACGAACGGGGTCAATCAACAAACCAAATTCCCCTCTTTCTTCGACTTTTGCATTATATGCGGACGCACGCTCGATTCCCTAGATTAAATTTAAACTTATCGCCTCTCTTGAGCTTTTGTTTATACATTGGATATGTACTTTGGATAATACTCTTTTCTCAGTTTCATCTCTCAAATAAACTACTGGAGCCGTTTGTCAATATTCGTCTTCAACAATATAAAAATATCTGTCCGGTGCACGCCTGTAACACGGCACTGAAAACAGTTTACACTATGCGGTCATCTTCAGCTTTAACATCCGATATCCGGTATACAAGTGCGTGAAGTACACTTTGCAACCTAATTTGCGCGTATCATACAGCTTCCAAAACTCCCAAGCCGAGAAATCCCCTCATCACCGTGAATCTTAGACCGAGATCAGCAATATAATCCTCCTGGGTCAGCTTGCTACAAAGTCGTGAAAATGAAGCCGCGGGAGGAGAGCATGTCAAAAGTCATGCGTTTGCGTATCGTGCAAATCCTCGCCTGCCGTGCGCAAAAATATAGGCGTTCCGCGTGCAATCGGCACAAGCGAAATTACTTGAATGGGAGAGGGGAGCAGACAAACTTTTGCCGCCACAAAAACTTTCGCAGTTTTACCCCACGACTTCACAACTCGTTTACGTTTTGCGATCGCGACGTGTTGCCCCCCTCCCCCCTCCCCCCACGCACACCACCGTTCAGATGAATTTCGAGACTGAGCGAGAGTCTGAATACAAAACATCACGCGCGCGTATTCGTTACGCCCGATTGCTTCGTTTGAGAACGAGAATCTTACGTAAATTTGGTGGTAGACGCAGTAAAACTTTGGGAATTGGATCAACATTGCTATTGCAAGGTTTTTATTAATACTCCTCTAACAACTATCTAATAACTATCGAAATTTTCATTAAATTATTATTCGCGATACTCAAATACTCATTTTCAGCAAATCTCGTACATAAATTTTCAAGAATATCGCATCATGATGTAAGAGCGTGTTCAAGTAGTACGAAAAACGATACGGTCAGACCTCGATTCTACATATTAAATTCCCATTACGCGCGACCTGAAAATCAATTCTGAAATAATTTTAAAATAATGAAGCACGCTCTACTTACGTGTCTACATGCTAAAAGAAAGGTAGAGCGACAGAGCAGCGAGGTCCATTAATATTCTAGGTGCAGGGCAGAGGCGAGCGCTCATTTTCAATCAATTTGCCCGGTAAAGTTTGGAGCCCGGCTGGTTGGAAAATAACGCATAATAAATCGATGATCCTAAAATCGTGGAGCTACGAAACTGCGGTGCGACGGAAAACATAGCCGAGGTGTTCGCGTCGACGACGACGAGGGTGTACTGGCAAAAAGCCGCGTACTCCATCATCCTCTCCTCGTTCCCTTTACAGCCTAGCCCGTGCAAGAACCAAAGTCTGACGCTTGGCCGGGATCGAATAATTTAAATGGATTACACCTCCGGGGCGCGACCGGGGGGGGGGGGAGGAAAAGAGCAGAAGCTGCAGAAGACCGAACCGCAAACGAGCCTTAAATGAGCGAGTAGTGCGTTGGTAATGAAATACACGGATCGTGGGACGTCGATCGGCGGCGACAACCCTATAGACGGAAATATTTGAAACTGAATTGGCATTTACTTAGAGCCTATGCCTGTAGCCTTCCAACTTGCGCGCGACGAATATAAACGACTTGGACCACGTTCAATCCTCGTTTTCCCGATAATATCACCGCGCTCGCACTAAAGGCTCAATGCATGATCCGCGCGGACGACGAGGCATTTCTTTTATATACAGATCGGCTAACGAGACACTTCGAAACGACGCCGACGACTTCTACTCATCAATCTGTCTTTCAATGTCGTTCTCGTTTTTCCTGCTGCATTCGCAGCTGCTACAGCTGCTACTTCTTCAATTTTTTTTTTCTCTAGTGAATTCATCGAGGCATCTGTCAGTTATTCGACCGCGATTATCAATGTTTCAAGTTTAAACTTAAGCTTAGACTTAAGCCTTTCCTTGTGTCATTACAGTTATTCGATAATTTTGAACGATTTTCTAAGTCGAAATTTTAGTTTCTGAAATTCTATTTCGCTTCTTTAGTTGCATGATCGACAACACGCCAATCTAAATAACATTTGAAATATCAAGTTAAGAATTACTGAGTATTCGTAGAAAACGATATGAAGATTAAAATTTGAAATGAAGATTTCAATTTTCAACCAAGCCAGACGTTCAGCCATCAAATTTTAATGCGAATTAATTATAATGCTACAAAACTCTGCAATATTCGACTTATTACATTATAACAATGATCCTTCTCGGCTCATCAAAGAGTATTGCATTAGTAATTTTACATATGAAACCGTAGTAAGTGCCAAGCAAGAGCAGAATTAATCTAAAAGATGTTTGTAGAAATGGTAAAAAATAAGAGTGAAAGAAAATAAAAAAGAAGCGGGGGATCCCGATGAAATAAGAATAGTACATTAAACAAGTGCCGGTGAAAAAGCCGCCAAGTAGGCTCGAGATTTTTATTGTTTGCCGTCGAGTAAAGGTAGTGAAGAAAAGCACGCAGAGATATATAAGAGAATTAAAGTTTTTCATTGTGCCCGCGCAAAACTTCCGAATTGCGGCTTCACTTTATTCCATTCCATCGGTCTACCGCAACAGAGCGTTTATTGCTATCTTCACAAGTAGTAGAAGAAGAGGCGAAGGAGGAGGGTAACCGAAGGGGTTAAACGAGACAGCGGCGAAGGAAGAAAAAGAGAGGGAGGAAGAGGGAAGCTTGGATATCTTTTATAGGCCGCTTTAATGACGCCCAGTGTATAACTTCGAAACGACTCTTTGCCTTTTCCCCTTTATGCGGTGCACTTAACGGCACCAAACAACCTCTTTCATGGGAAATCGATAGAAAGCGAATTAGGGTTGACGAGGAGGTCAACGGGAGGAACCACAACTCGCGTATGAAAAAAAGCACAACAAAAAAAAGAGGCTCGTTTATATGCTGCGTTATGAGGACTAAGAGAGCGAATACCAGTGTCAGTGTGAAAAGACTTGCACCATGTTTCGTAATAGCGTAAAACGAACAGAACATTATAACGACCTTTTCTCTCTTTGTGTTTCAGCTCAGTGATACGCCGAACCAAGAGCTACGGATAATAACAAGCGTGTTCAACAGGGTACAGTTTCGAGGTGAGTCAATAAAAAAAAGTATTTTAATTCATCGATATATCTCTAAGCTTAATTGAATTCGTTCTTGATTATCGAGAAAAATAAATAGATGTCGCCTTTATCACGCAATCGAAGTATAGTCAATGAAATAATTATAAATTTAAACAGATGTTAATCCAAAATTAAGCAATTTAAATCCACGTGGGTATAGTTCGGAAAGCACATTATTTCGTCTTTTATAAAAGTTAAATGTTATATTCTAGAATAGTTCGACTATTTTTAACAAGACTAAAATTATATTGTTCGTGGTATTTGCTCTATCGTCTTAAAATAATTTTTTATCTTAAAAAAACAATTCTATTTGAACACTCACGTTCATTTAAAAAAGCTTTCAGATAAAAAAAATTACATTAGCTTATTTTACTTATACTTTATTTGATTTTTTTTTGGTTATTTTAATTATGCAAATACACTTAAATCATGCAAAATAATCTAATTTTTGTTGACAAAATAGAAGGATGTTGAAAATGATCTTTTGCCTCCTAAATTAAGATGCAATCTTAAAATTTAGGATAACAATATTCTAGAAGTGAATCTTAGAAATTTATTTTCCCGATTTTGATAAATCATTGCATTAATTTTATATCTCTCTTTAAACAGTTTTCTTCATTATTTAGCTCACAAAAGACTATTTTTTTATGCAAAAAAAAATATTTAATTACATATCAATTTGGAATGTACAAGAAAATTCTTAAAATTGGAAAAATAACGAAAATAAAAAAAAGGTCTAATTTAAAAGAATTGCTAGTTACTCCAATTCATTTACTCTTCTTTGACGATTTAAACTTTGGTGAATTCTATCTTGAAATAAAAATTGATGTTTTTAGACTTCTATAAAATTGACAAAATGTTATAATATATAGAAGATATATATATATACAGAATTATAGAAGGACTAAAACAAAAATATACTAGTGTCGAAGTACTGGCACAGCGTAATAATAAAGCTCGAAGCTTTCGTTCCGACTCCTCCATGCGTAAAAAAACACGTTCACAATATCATCAAGCCTCGCGCTATCAATTACGAAAAAAAAAGGAAACAACGACGCCGTACCATTTGAAATGAAAACAAACACATGGTTGCTCTTCCGTACTATATATATGTATATATACTATATATGTATATATATATACATATTGCAAGGCAAAAACGCGACCGCGGCAAATAAATTAGAACGCGCGTAAGTAGGAGACGCACGAGATGTCACGCTGACATTAATTTGAGCATAATTTTTTTTTCCTCGAAAATGAAAGAGGAGAAAAAAATGAGAGTGCCCACGGACGAGGAAGCTGCAATTAGTGGTAGGCTTGAAGTTTGTCGAGCGTGAAGCGCGGTGACCTCGCACTTCGCGCACTAGATGCACTTACCTATACACCCTGCCGCGAAATAAATAAAATCTCGACGATGAAATGAGAAAAAATAAGACAACGCACAAACAATAAATGCGGTATAAGGTTTTGCTCAACGGAAAATAAAGAGAGAGCGAGAGAAAATGACGAGGCGGAAAGTGAGGTACTGTACTGCTCGTCTGCTGGAAGAATGAAGGGAGCGTGAAGATGAGCAGATAATAACTCTCTTTAGCTAACGAGTCACTCGCCCCGAGATTTTCCCTCCCGTCCACTCGCGCCACACTGCCTTTATCTGCCTTGCTTCGAAAGCTTCTCTCTCTCTCTCTCTCTCGCTCTCCTCTTCACGCTCTCCTTGGTCAAATTAAATTTTTAGGATTCTCTCTCTACTCTCTGGAGATAGTGCATCTTCATTCATGGCCATGTTTATTAAATTATTCTTAGTGACCGTCGGAAATTAATTAAACTACAATATCAATTGTTGTTGTTTAATTAAGAATACTTTTAGTAATTAACTTTAATTAGTTTTTCGTCACACCAAAAACGTCATTTTTTGGTTCGCAATATCTTCTTTCCTACAAGTATCCCATAATACACCAAGAATAATTTTCAATGGTAGCAGAAACATATTTAATTACATGACTATTGATTCTACAAAAAATCGCTCTTCTCTCTCTCTCTTTCTCTCTCTTGCGAAAGCATCGGCAGAGAGGAATCAATATCGGAAATATTTGTCATCCATCAATGACCGCGAGTCTCGAAAATGCAGCTTTTCATTAATACAGTAATTTTAGAAGAGAGCTATACGGAAGCTTCATATATACTTGGCATTGCTGCAAAGTGAGTTAGCTTGCAAGTTCCAGTGTGGCGGGCCGAGCATGAAAATTCTTCAGGAACGCTTTACATTACTCATTGCGCGAGAGCCCGCTCACGGTCTGGTATTTCTGTTTCGCTAAGCTTATTACAAGCCGGGTAGAAGAAAAATTTAACGGAAAAAGAGAGGGAAAAAGCTTCTCGGCTGACTTTAACAGGCTTTGGCAGGAATTTTCATTTTTACCTAATTCCTCATGTCGTCGATCGATTTCTCGATTGGATTCCATTTAAGGACCAAGTTCTCAAGTGTTCTGGGCGCGATGCTTCACTCGAGAGGCACCAAGCAAGCAACCAAGCAAAAAAAAATGTTAAGAAAGAATTAAAGATCCGTCAGCAAAAGTTGCCGAGTCTCTTCGCCGTAAGCACTCCAAACTTGAATCGTTGCGTTTGAAAGGAAAGAACAGAGGCACACGAGCGAGGTATATAATTGGACTGTGATATAGAAAGGGGCGCAGTGTAGTGGTCAAGCGAGCCCGTACGCACACAGAGAGGAGAGCACATAGGGGGAGAAGTACTTAGATTTCCGGTATGTCGCTGGCAGACCTCACGCCATTTCCCATTGTCTTATGATTTACGAGCTGCTGCCGGCTCGTGCCAAGGTGTCAGACCGCGAGCTATTGATTAAAATAGCCCCATGCGCTTCTCCCGACTGTGTGCTACAAATATACGTGTGTGTGTATATATATATATATCTGTATATACCTTGGAGCTGCGTTAGGGCTTTTCAACAGCGCCGCGCGGGCGCAAAGCGGAAAAAAAAGATCGTCAGTCGAATGAGGGCTGAAGTTTAATTGAATTCAGCGCTCACGGGACGCTTCTATTCTCCGCCGAGCGTTATTGTGTTCGCTCGATTGCAGGGGGGAAAAGGCTTTTTTCTATTTAGACGATTATTCGACGCCTCAATAGAGTTGGAACTTTGGAAAAAGAACGTTTATTTCTACATCCTTGGAGTTACGGGATAATTAGTATACAATAGAATTGTCATCGGACAAAGGATGCGTTGAAAATTAATTAGAAATTCAAGACAGATGGCACATTAGCTCTCATAGAATCATTCAGAACGCTGGAGTCTTTCAACATTTCGATTAAGACGACGCCATCGTTCAGTTTTTCATCAAGAGTCGCGGGTGGATTGATTACACCGGCGTGACAGGTCTCCGTGCAACATTCTTTAACGGCGTTTCAGTTCATGAATAAACATCACACCTTACAACGAAAGTACATTTACGTATATTCAGCCCCGTAGTCGGTGCACAACCAAAAAAAAAAAGGAGTACACCGCATTACATCATTACCGTCTGCCTGCACTTATATAGGGAAACTCACTACGTAGCTCGGCATCGTCGCGCATACGAGAAAAAGTGGCGCGCTAATGAGTTTGCCGTAACCTTTGTGAGCAGACGTGGTGCATGCACGAACAAAAAGCCAAGGATATTTCTTCGCGAGCATGGATAATTTTGGCTCGCCTTTGCGTGGAAAATCCCATTCACCAATATCGATCCGAATATACGTTTTTCTCTCGAAAAATCAAAAGCTTAATGGATATTTGGGAGCCGAGTTTCTCATTTTTGTACGACGGGATAGGACAGTTGTTTGAACAGAGCAATCGATTTACGGTAAACAGGTCGATCCGTTACGTGTTTGCTTGTATCGTGAATTGATAACTAAAAATAGCTTAGCTTATAGACTTGAAGGTCAGCGTTTTCGAATTATGCGATTGAACATTTTTAATTAAAATCAGTATAGCTCGCTTGCTGGAGGGGTGAAGAGCGATTGAAACTAAGCTCTGCTATCGACTCTTCCTTTTTCGAAACCTTTGAGCTTTGCTTTGGAATATAAATGACACAACAATGAAAAAAAAATGTGGAAAACGGCGACTTGGCAATCACGAATACCGCACAAATTAGCGGTGCATTATAACTGCAACGAATAACCACGGCGCTGAGAGAAGCAAAGCAACAGCAGCACAGTTTTAATTCGATCCATTAAGCAGCGCCGCAGAAACTCCGCGCGGCGTAATCATCTCCCGGGCTCTCTGCCTCTCGAGAATGGCATCGCTTATTTTTCGCTCCCTCCAAGTTTTCTTCTTCCTTCTTCTTTCACCCTAAACTATTACCGCTCTCTCGCGGGACCGCTTCATTTTTTCTCCCCCCCCCCCCATTTATGCGCGCGTGCGCACACAGCGAGAACGACTAACTGCGAGCCGCTTCCGCTGCGCTGAAGAATTGATGTTTTTTCATCAATCACCAGCCCATTCAGAGCGAGCACTCACCATAGCCGACAGTCCAAGCGTCTACTTATTATTTGTCATTTTCGCTAGGATCTTCACTCGCGCAAATTGCTGCTCGGAGACTTACTTTATTTTAGTTGCGCGAGAGGGAGATTCCGCGCCGTACTTGTTTAGGACTTTCTTTCCTGCTTTTCTTCTGCGTCGTATTTTTATGTATGCCACTTTCTTTTATGTAAGCTCGTTACGAATATTACGACTGTTTTTATTTGTCCGTGCTTGCACTTTTTCTATTTGTTTTGAGAATGTCAAAGATTCACCGTTTTATTTCGTTCAATACCTTCGGATTCGCCGCGACCTCGTCCAACAAACAATTTTCTCAAATAATTAAAGTTTCCATATCCCAGTAAGAATTTCCCACTTATCGGAAAAGTTCAGAACTGTGAGAGCGATATTAAAATAATAAACAACTTGAAACGATAACGAAGTTACTTTGATGAATTTTTGTAACGATATGAATGAATATCAAAATCGTGAATGCTATAGATGATAATTCTTTAAATGTGGTGATGTCTGTAGTAACGAGGGTACTAAAAAAATTAGATTCTATCGTGACAGCTCATTGTTATAATAATAATAAAACGAATCTTAGTGCCCCATCGCGTTACCAATCGGTGCCTCTCTAGTATTGCTTTAAATATCTCTTAAACTAACCTAACAACAAATGAACATTATATTGAAATATTTACTATAAATCACGTAACCGTTTCTAGAACTCGTACAGGAAATGATTTTTCATTATTTATGTGTCAATATTAGGAAGGAATAGTAGCAAATACGTAGAAAAGCAAAGTTAGTGTTGTTTGAACAAAGCAGCGCTACTAGACGAGAAGCACAGTATACATCACGAATAAAAAAAGATTGCGTAGAGGCGAATGAAAAGACGCTCACTCGGTAAACATAATACATCATGACTCGAGTGGTTCTCTCTCTCTCTCTCTCCCTCTCTTTCTCTCTTTTCGATAACGCACACAGGCCTCCAAATAGACGCTCTATAAAGCGAACGAATCAAACAGAACGAGAGAGCGAAAGCGTCAGTCTCTGGCGACCATCTTCTTGGCTTTTGCCGCGCAGTGTATATATTTGAAGAGAGCCAATCATTGGCGTATCGAGTTTCTTTTGCTCGACTCGCTTTTCCCACTGCCGCTGTAATTCTGCAGCGTCAACTATAGAGAGGGAGAGAACGCGAAGCCGGTAAAGTACTTGGCGCGATAAAGCATCCTTTTCCTCTAGCTTGCCGCGACACACGCGCGCACTCCTTTTTTCCTTTTTCTCCGCTGCAAAGAGGTGTACACGCGTATATATTTCACGGGATGCGCGTTGCGGTGGCGGCGGCCAACGAAAGTCTAGCGGCAAGTGCGCGCAGAGAGAAAAAGAGAGGTCGAAGCCGAGAGGAGCTGCGTTAGTCGGCGGGGGCCTCTCCCGTAAAACGTCGCTATTTCAAAAAGTCACGCGCGAAGCCGTGGATTGCCGTTACGCGCGCGCCTGTTACGAAAGCTTCCACCAGCGATACGTACATATATATATATATATATATATGCACGAGCACACAAAGCGAGAGTCCGCGGGATGAAAATAGAGATCGATTAATACAGGGAAGCCTTGAGTGCGCGCGCTCGAGCAGTTTGCCCGTAAGAACAGCGTGATTTATACGGTCTCGACTGCGGCGCGTCGCGAGCGCCGCGGGACATTTTCGCGCTGTATATACGCGGCGAGCGAATATCACCCCCCGCGACTGGACGCGATACGAACTTGTCGGCGATAAAGTCACGCCTGTTCGACTCCGCGCGGTCTTTTTTTTCTTTTCCTTGTGTCGCCTCTGAAAAAGAGCGACCGAGTGGGGGCGATAAGGCGCGAGGCGCCGCATCGGCTAACAATCGCGCAGGTGCATCGAGAGGCGCGCGCGCGCGGCGAGAAGAGGAAGGTACTTAGCGAGGCGTTTTTATGTTCGCAGGTGATAAAGCTCCCGTACGGCATCTCTCATTAAAAGCTCTCATGCCCGACACAGACGGCTACATGACTTACGAGGGTAGCACGACGCACCCGGGCTGCTGGGAGACGGCGGTTTGGGTGATTCTCAACAAACCTATCTACATTACTGCGCAGGAGGTATAACAAACTTGTCTCGTGTTTATGCACCAGCAGTTTAGCTCGAGCGCGCGCTTAATGAGTTGTACGTCGTTTCCATCGCGCATAAGACGCCATCATTCATTCGCTCGAGTAGACAGGCTGCACTTGAAATAGTTTAGAGTTCGGCTGTATCTGTTTCTTCGTTCTGTCTGTGCAGCTGTACGCCCTGAGGAGGCTGATGCAAGGACCTGACAGAATGCCAAAGGCACCGCTCGGGAATAACTCCAGACCGCTGCAAGGACTCCATCACAGAACTATTCGAACGAACATCGATTTTCGCAAGGTACGACCGTTGTCGCGATATTCTAATTGGCGCGCGCCGCGGCGGCTCAATTGTTTTTCTTTCCACGTTGGGAAAAGAAAACGTTTGATGTCGCCAAGTGCAGAGAGGACACCGATGAGATAGGCTACCGGAGAGAGTGCACCGTTCTTTTGATTTTGTTTCAGCGGCCGGACGCTAAGTGCCCGACGATGGCGACGGACATGCGATACAAAGGTAACCCGAGCGCTTGTCCATGAGTAAAGCGCCACACTGCCTCCCCCCCAACAGCTCGGGCTAAGGCCACCGATGAGAAATTTAAATAGATGACTTTTTCTTTCCAGCCAATACGTGGCGAGACGAGACCACGTTGTCGCGCAACGTCGTCTGAATTGTCCGCCGGCCAGTTCCAACGCTTCGCAACAATTCACCAAAAATCCCACGACTTCTTCCCGGCGGCGTCCCGCGGGCTCGATCGCATAATGTGTTTTCAAACTCAAACAGACGATACGACACAATTAGTGTGAATGGAGAAAGTTATATTTTCTATTGCAGATGTACGACGATGAGAAAAGCGAACGAATCAACAACTGATATTATTATCGCACGGCGCTTTACATTTGCGAGAGCCGCGGTCAATGAGTCATAAGTTCCTTTAACGATGGAAAGACGAAAATAAGAGCAAAGTAAATAGAAAAAAAAAAGAAAATTCTGTCTGCTATGTTCTGTACGTTGCGTACGTGCTTCAGGGTAGACCCGGAACACTCCATCGATTTGTATATTCGTTGTACGATGGTCCCGGCTTTATCCCGCAAGCACTTCACAGTTCATTGTGTGAATATTAAAAATATATAGCGCCAAACGAATATCTAACGGTAACTGCGTTGAATTCTTTGCGGTTCTACCTACAAAATATTGTTTGTATTTCGAAGAAACAAAGTGGAGAGGACGGCGATATTTAAGGCTTCGTATACGTTGAGAACTGATGTCTTGCAGACTGTCCTCTTCGATAGAGGCAAGCTTCGATAAAAAAGAAACAGAGATGATAATAATAAAAGAAACGTAAGTTTAACGATATTATACATATACATATATACATAATCCTGTGCAATACACACACACACACAAAAGATAAAAATAAAAACGATGAAAAATTCTGTACAAAGTCGCATGGAGATTGTAAAAGTTTATTTTATTGCGCGTGTTGACGATTACGGAAGAAAAAAAAGAAAACTCAATTAAATTCCAAGTAAGAAAGCGTTGAGACGTTAATGCAAACCAAACTTGAACAAAGAAAAAAACACAATATGATGCCGCTCAACTTTTTTAATGCTTACAATGCCAACGATCTTTTGATCTAAATGACAGACTTTGTTGTCAATTATTTTTCAGTCAAGCGATAATATAACGAAAGGAAAAAAGCCGCTCGACGACGACGAGTGCAACATGTCATCAATTGTAACCAAATCATTCTGGATATCGATCAAAACTATAATACTTCGTAAGAAGCTTTTGCGCGTTTGCTTGGTTTTCGATGATCTTATGTAGGAGAGAGTCATTTACAAGTCGATTGCGGGAGACAGCGAGAAAGATTGAAAGAGATGCAAATTATAAAGGAAGTTTTATGTAAAGTAGATTAATTGAGGTATTTGGGGTTGGGTGGACTGTTATTGGGATCATAGCGTAGTCGATGAATGAATAACCCTGCGCTTTTGTAAATACAGTATCATATAGGCATGAAAACTTTTAGGACAAAATAAAAAAATGTATAGAAGAACGAAAATTAAACTGTATGATTGAAACAAAAATGATTTAAAGGAATGAACCATTTATTGGTTTACGAATAATGATAATAATAAACATAACGTTATATTGTAACGACAAAGAACATTTATTCACCTGTTCCAATGTCCCGTTGTTCCCAGAGGTAAGTGAAAACTTTTCGATAATTAAAAAAATGTCATCGCGAGAGACGAAACACTCGATGAGATGCTCGCGCGTGGAGGGAGCAAAATGTAGGTCAGGTATATCCGTTTTTGATACGGCAATTCACTTAATACTTGGCGCGAAATCAAATTAAAAACAAATACGTTAGATGCGGCAGCGTAGTAACGGGGGCGAAATTCCATTAGAAAATCGAACACGCGTTCGGGAAGACGCGCTTTTGAAATGTATTTCGTGGCGCTTTCGTACTCGTCCGCAAAACATAATCAAAAAGTTTGCGCTAAATATTCAAATGCCATCGCGGGAGGCTTGGGCATTTTGCAAATTATTTGCCGCGAGAGTTTGATGTTCTCCATGCAAATTATGCTAACGGCTTGAGCGGATTTCAGGGCAAGAGTCGCGCTCGCGCCCGCCAACTTTAAGCATATGACAGTGAGTGAAACAGCTGGCGAAGTAGGGCCAGTCAGTGTTAATTTGAAGTTAATTTTCCCGCCGCTGCTACTGCCTCACGCAGATTAGACGCTAGATACTGAGTTGCGTTTAATTTGCAAGCCCAAGCTCCGGGCAAAACGTACATTCCAAGAGTACCTTCAAGTTTGACGCTTAAGGTTGCGCATGAGCTATCAGTTCGCTTCAGTTTCTTCGCCAGACTTGCCTTATAATCACGTGACAACTCTATCCACGCTTATATTCATCAATTCCTACTTGACGACGGAAATCGTACACACGTCAAACTCGTTTTCAGCGGATTTTCAGCGGACGATTCTTAACAAACGATCAGGCTAGTTTCCTACATATGAGAACACATATTTGTGGTTCATAATAATAGCTGTTATAGGTAAAGTTACATGAATTAGTTTGTTATGGCTTGGAAATTCTAGAAGTAATAACAACTAGTCCAAGTACGAAGAGTAACCATTAAAAACTTTGCGCATTACAAGTTTCTTAATTACGTAAACGTCGTAAAATCGTAAATAGTTTGTCAAAAAGAAACTCAACGTCCATGAGTATTCAATGTAGAATTTCGCAGTTGGAATTCGAAACATTTTCAATATGCGAGAGACAGCGTTACAAGCAAAAAGCGCGCTGTGCAAAAGTAGGGCATTAAAAACACTTCGTGAGCGCGCATGAGGCGAGGGAATGTAAGAACCCATTCGACAAGTGAAAAACTATAAGCCGTCGCGTGCGCGCGTAAAATAGTGAGAGGCAGATGGGTCGTAGGGCCGAAGAAGATGCCGGATTGTCAATTTGTCAGCGGATCACTTTTTTCTTCTTCTTCTTCTTCTTCTTCTTCTTCTTCTGCCTCTTCTTTATATAAAGAATCACAGCGGTGAGGGAAATAATGACAAATTTTTATCGCGTTCGCGTGCACTAGCTCGAGATGAGCTGTAAATTTTATCTTGCCGCGCACGCCCGGCGCCCGCGCGGAAAGTTGTGTTCCTACACACCATGCTCATGCTAGGGGGCAGAGGAATCCTTGGGGGGCGCAGGAACCTATGAGAAATAAAGACAGGCATTTCGTTCGCAGAGGGAGCTCTAATAAAGCACGCTCCGATGAAATTTGAAATTTGAAAAATTTACAACCCTCTTTTTCGATTCGACGACGTGTGCAAAATCAATTATTGGTTCATTGTAATCATGTTCCGCACAAATTTATATTGCAGAAGCTATCGTAAATATTGCTGTATCAATATTCTTCATCTTATGGTAATAGGTATTTTTGTTTGTACTGTCATTGATAGTGATATTGAGTAATAAAAGCTTGATGCACGTAAAGATTCTGAAGAATTTAACGATTAAAAATGAAGTAATTCAACGTAAGAATTACAAACGAAATAACAACAATCAAATCATAAGAATCGAATGCGCCTTTTTACTCGTGCCAACTAAAGTAGCATTATATCTTCCCCCATAAAGGTGTACAACCTGTGATATTTTCATCTATAGATAAATCCAAAATCATTCATATGGGGTAACTTAGTACTACTATCATTAAAAAATTGTTTTAAACCCATCTCTCTTTTAAAAATATCTCATCTCAAAATACTAGAGCCTGCTCAGTGCTCGGATTGTCAATGTGGACAAATTCAAGCCGTGTGAGTAATGGTAAAGCGAGAGTATGGAATAACATACAACGGACACCCCCAGCGTGTCGACTGTCGGAATTTATCGATCACGCTGCGAAGCGGATACGCGGGTTTTTTAAAAATGGTCAACATCTCGGCGTGCGAAAATCGGCTGGCCGGAAAGAGTCAGCCCGATCCGAGTATAGCTGCTCTCCGAGGGTGTTCAGCTGACTACCATCACGGGAACAGCGCTCGCAAGCCGCTGCAATCTCGCGCTGATACGAAACCCGAGAGCAGATCCAAGCAGTACACTTAGGATCAACCGGAAGATTATCGTTTTTAACACTAGTGCTCTGCACTCGGAGATGGGGTGTGTCGCTCGTCAGACGCGTGAGCTATTCTTGTGCAATTCAGCCACCAAGCGGTTTTACGAGGAATATTTCATTAACAATTTTATGGTTTTATAATAATTCTGAATGCTCACGCTATGTTAACAAATGCTGTGAGAATATCTATCAAACTGACGTGCTAGATATTGCATAAAACATTATATTTATTGATCATTCCATTGTTAAATCTCGCCTTGTTCTTGCATTAGAGGTGATAGAAACACTTAATCAATGACATAGGCCAGATAAATGTGCAGTTTGAGAAGAAAACAATTATTGAAAAAACATTTTTTTCCACTACTGGCAATGCTAATGTTGTGATATCAATAGAAAACATGAAACCTATAAAATACAGCCAAGTCGAAAGAAAACAAGCTCAACTTGTGAAAACTGTCTCAGTCCCTTCGAACGTATAAGAGGAAAAGGGGAAACCAACGATGAGATGCTGGGCAAACATCGTGAGCCACTCGACGACTCGAGTGCAAAGGACCAAAGAGACTAAAAGAATCAAGGATAAAAGAGAACAGCAGGAGGACTTATTCACAGAGCTTTATGGTCACTGAAGATGTGATTTCGTCTTTTAACTGCAATCGATTGTACTCCAAAATTATTTTCTCGTCTTTTTTCTTTATTTGTTTTTTTTCCCACCGAGTGAGCCAGTCAATCACTTCTTTTGGTTGAGTAGTAATTTTATTGATATACATATTTATAATAATTGTAGAATTTGTTAATTGCTTCGTAAATATAATCAGGATGAGCTTTTTTTTTAAGTACGTACAAGTTTTTCAATTCACCGAATGTGCACAAAGCTGCAGAAAGCAACGAACATGTACTTGCACCGTATATGAAATGCAATATAGCCTATAATTAAGGTTTCATGCCAAACTGCATATTTTTAGCACGAAGCTAAAGTGAGCTCCGGTAATAGAGTGCAAACATGCCGCAACTCCGCGCGAGACAAAGAGCACGCAAGTTTGGTGAAAGCTATTAAAATAATTTATTCAGTAAACGACTACGTTATCACAAGTAAACCTTTATACGCCACGACAGCGGCGTGCGATGTCGAAAAACAAACCATAATTAAGTACTTTCCGTTATTAGGGTGGAGCTAGCATCGAGCTTTTTGAAGGCTTTTATGCGAAACCTATTTTGGCTGCTGGGTCGTCACGCCCGCCCGCGCAACACACATTGTCGACAGTAAACTCCTTTTATCTTGTTTCCAAACTCCACGGCACACGTAATGACTTAATGGCACTCTTTGAACCGGCGGCAATAACTTCTTTCTAAGCTGATTTGCCGTCGAACGGTGTGAAAAAAAGCTTCAACTTTCCTGATTTTTTTTTTCTTTCTCTTGCCTCGCATAAAATTATACAAATATACTTCGCGTGTAATGAAGTTTGGACTTTGCACCAATTCATAAAACTTATCCTTTTTACGAGGCGTTTCTTTAACTTCTTGGCGCAGATCGTCGTGCACTTTTATAGATACGCATTTTCAAAAGGAGGCTTTCACGTAGGTCCCTTTCATAGGTAGAAATCCGCTTTACAGCCCAAAATTCTTCTTTTAATTTTTCCAATTATTTTCTTGCTCTCTCTTTCTCTCTCTCCCTCAAGCGAAATACCTCCATGACTCCGCTTTTGCCATTTCTACACTCTGACCAATATCAGATAGCTGCAAAAGCTATTCAACGATTTCCAAGTCGTACCTTGACACAAACCTATGAGCAGTAAGAATCACGAAGGGGCAGGAAGGAAAAAGAGAGAATCTGGTGTAAGCTTGGTGCGGTCGGCGAGTGGTCCGATGATGGCTTGCGATGACGCGCCTGGGAATTATGGACGCCATTACGAGCGAGAAAGATTAGAGCTCCTAGTAATATTTTTGTTATATCCCGTTTCGCACTTACATCTGGCTCTCTCTCCCTCTCTCCCTCCGTCTCTCTCTCTTTCTCTTTCTCTTTTCGTTCCCGCAGGCGTCCAGTCGTTACTTTCATTGATCCTCGCTTTCTCGCGCACGCTTTTTTCCTCATCCTCTTTTTCTTCATACAAGTCAAAATTGGTCTTGGAGTGGGACGCGCGTCCGCTATCTCCTGTCCCACTAAATTCATATCTTCAACGGCATTATTTGCGCTCGGTAATAGACAAGAATCCCATTACATTTGCTATAATTTGCCACTCTTTCTTTTTCACTCTCCGTAAAGCAAGTTCAATGATCGTCTGCGTATACCTGATCCATGCTGCAACGGATATAAGATATTTGTCGATCTAAGGAGTTATCGTACGAAAATTAAACACATCAATTGGGTCGAATCGTAATATTTGCCTTGTCGAAAATATCGCGTTAAATTTCTTCGAGCTACGTTGGTAAGAACAATTTTGAAAAAGACAAGCGAACTCCTCGAACTAGTTTGTCGGTACGCAAATTCTTGCTCGGCCAAGAACAATTTTACCTCGTGATAG